TCTCTCTCTCTCTCTCTCTCTCTTCTTCTCACCCCCTCTCTCTCTCTCTTTCTCTCCCCCTCTCTCTCCCTCTCTTCCTTGCCTTTACGTCAGTGGTCTGACAATCCTCCCTTTACCGTAATAGTCCCTTCACTGCTCCACCAGTTTCTTTGTTTTTACAGGACTTAGTGTCTTCGACAGCCAAGTCCTGCTCTCTCTTACTCTTGACTTTTCTCTTTTGTTTTGTACCCCATTAACGCATAGAGCGAGGTTGTAATACAGAAAAAAACACCAGAAAAAGGGGCGTATATATGCCACCAAGGGAGACCCAAAAGCGCTGTTTTTTCACCTCAGAGAAAACGGTATTTATTCATTTCGTTTGGATTAGTACCACGTCGGACTGGGATGAGAGCAAACTTTGCTGGTGCAAGTCGGTGACATAAGTCCGTTGTTTTCTCCTATGGGGCAGCACTTTTGTGACTGGCCGTTTCCTGGGCCTTTGTGTGTCCGCTTTTCAGTCGCCGTCTGTGCTGGCTGGGCAATGAGTGGAGTCCTCAATTAGTGCACAGTTGCTGAGGTAAAGATCGGGTCTTACCAGCATGTTTATGTAGACATAGTACCCTACATATGTATTGATAGTGATACTATTATTATTATATTAGAACTTCGTGGGGAAAAGAATAACTGACGTCACAGAAGAACTTTGTGAGAAGAAGAATTAACGTCACGAAAGACCTCTGCGTGACAAATTGGCAAGTCTTTCATCCCTGAATCTGCCGAGGGGACTTTTCATGTATTCGGGAGTGAATTGGTAAGTTCAGTGATTTATTTTCACATTTCCTTTCGTAATTCATCGATGGGAGCATTATTACAGTTAAAAATGTATCGTTGTTGTTTGCGTTCGTTTCTTTGCTGCTTTTTAAAAAATCCGACAAAACAAAGTTAATAATTATTTGTTGATCTATTTAAAGTTTTTGTGTGTGTAGCCTAGCACGATTCATGACTGTGACTTCGGAAAGAGAGCCAACACAGTTTGAGAAAAGAGAAGAATATCGTAGTGATGTTAGGCATTTAGCACTGATTTTAAAAATAAAAAAATAAAAAAACCCAACCATATAGCATAAAATAAGACAGACAGAAAAACCAGGGAAAAGAACACGAAGAAGAACTTACCAGTGGCATCCAACAGCCTTCCAAAAAGATAGTTCAGTGCTGCCAGTAGTCTAGGTGTTAGGCTAGCGGAGTTGTAATTGTGGGGTTGCGGTCTTAAATTAATAAACTAATAGTGTTGAAAAAAGTTTAACTTTTACAATTTCGCCCATTATTTTTTCTCTCGCAAAGATACGTAGGGTTCATTTAAGTTACCAGGAACTGTGCATCAGGAAGTACTTCAAGAGTACACAAATAATTTCGGTCGACCTGCACTCGAAAGACTCCAAGGGTTAAGCAGAAATAATTGTTCAATATCTGAGGTGGATATTGGAGCGGGGAGCGGAGCACGTATGGCAATGCCCGGAGTGCTATGATGTTGTTCCCAGGATCAAGTAATCAAGAAATCAAGAACAAAGTATGACGAAATGTGCATTCACACACATTAAGGGAAAAAACAAACACACACACACACGTACACGCACACACACACACGCACACAGACACACACTCACACAGAACACAGAGAGAGAGAGAGAGAGAGAGAGAGAGAGAGAGAGAGAGAGAGAGAGAG